GGGGGGTGGTATACGGTGCACGACGGTGCCTGCTTTTGAATAAATAAAAATGATTTACCACAGTTGTTTATACATTTAGCAGCTCATTTTATTCCACAGCTGACGGTGCTACAAATGACAGATTTTCTTTTCTGTATCTCTGACAGATGGACTTCAATCTATGGACTCGTAAAGTTTTTCTTTTTAATTTCCGCTGTCATTTTCATGAATGGACACTTGCTTGTATCTCAGATAGGAAACATAGCCTTATATGGTGTTTTTGGGGTGGTAATTATGCTAATCTCCTCTCGCGTGCACGAGCAGCTGGATACGAACAGGTGGAATTTATGCAGCTCATTTACACACTTTTCCTGAAGATAGAAGAGTTTGTTGAATCTGACGTGACATGTTCGTACTAAACCTTTGTACGAACAAAAGTAAGAGAAATTTAGGATAAGAATATGAACATGTTCTTGCATGAGGCCCAATGTTCGTAGAAAATTGATTCAAGATTACTACCACAGCTAATTGATTATGTATCAAATCACTGCAGCCAACACAAAAATGTTTATAACTGCCAGTTTTACATGAGCTAAAATTAGATTTGGTACTCATTCCCAACACATGTTCTGGAAAACAAAACAAAACACAAAAACTTAACCAAAAATGTACAATATGAATTTCTTTGAGATTCCTCAAAAACGTGAAAAAAATAAAAAGACTGGCTATTAGGAAGGTGTCCATTCGCAAATGTGTTACGTAGAGACCAACAACACTTCTGACGGTGCACAATAACTAGCAAATGGGATGTAACAATCAATCAAGAATCGATTAGTAATCAATTATAACTGCTGAAAATGTGAACTGATTCCAGAAAATTAATGAATCAATTTCATTGATATTGTACAACAGTAACTTATGTCTTTAAGATAAATTCAGTTTATTACTTGATACCTTTTAGTCACAAAATGATTTGTGACGACATTTTCATTTATTTTGAAGTTATATTTTGTTACTAAGACAGCAGACAGTTACAGTTTGATAAAACGACAAACATGCTGCTATTGAAAGAAAAGAAACATTTGATTATAAAATCGCTACAATTCAGTTTAAAAGAAAATTAATAAAAAATCAAGTTAACTTAAAATCGATAGTTAAATCAAATCAGGGTTTGAGTGAATTAATACATTCTTACGCCACCTAGCACAGCCGCACAGAGCTCTCCTTCCAGTTCTTTGACCAGCTTTACAAGTTGTTTTTAGTATGTTTATAAGCTCTATTTGACCATCTTTTTAAGTTTTGCTGGAACAAATAAAAAGATTGCTGTATTTTCTGAAAGCATCGGCCAGCTGATCCTCAGAGGAGCAGTGGAAGTGAAACGAGAGCAGTGTATTAGCTTTTCTGCACAAACACATCCACAACAAAGTTCTGCCCAATGTCACTGCAGGAAAAAGTTCTGACTGGACTTTGTGCACAACATATTCTTGATGCTCATGAGAGATCAAAATGACAATTTTTGTCATACAACTACGTCTGCAAGAGCAGATTTCTTCAGTTCTCACAGTATGAATCAGCCTCAAGACTGATCCTGTTTAGTGAGGGAAAAGCAAACAGCAACATCAGCTAAGGGCAGATGTAATCAACAAAACTCACACCACTGAAAGTACACACAAATAACTAAAAATAAACATTACTCTTTACTCTTTTACTACTTCACAATAAAACTTCTAGCTTGTATATTTTGCTCTCTGTGAGCCTTTTAGTTCCTGTCAAAAATAATTCCTCTTCAATTTTTTTTTTGTCTCTGATCCTCGAAAACTGTCCCACTTTCCATAAATAATTACTCCCATGAGACACAGGGAGCCTTCTCCATGGCAGAAACAGGCCAGATGTGGTTAGTCTCTTTTCACATCATTTAGAACAGACTTTTCTACTCCCACACCCAACTCCAACAGAAATCACAGTTTGGAAATAAGATACTTAAAGAGAGGATCTTCTTCAAAAATAATTTTCATACAGAGCTAATCAAACAGGGACATTATACTTTGAGGCTAAATTTGAGTTTGGAAACTTTCAAAACCAAGGTGTATTTATGATTTTGATTTACAACCTACAACATGGTCGGACGGCCTAAAAGCTGGACCGACACAACCCTCACAATAAAAAACAGTGCAGTGTGTTCCACGCAGACTCAGACTCTGATAATCACACATCTACTCAACTATCTGGCAAAGCAGTCAGGAAAGTAATGAAAGATTTATCTTACAAAGAAGCTCATGTTATTGCTTCCAAATGCAAGGAGCCTCATTTAAAACCCATCAAATCTCAAAGCACAGTATAAATCAACAACAAATCTTTCTCATGTTGCACATTTTAAATTAGGACTAGAGCCAGACTACATATAAAATCCCTTAATTCACAATAAAAGCCTAGAACTCCTTAAAAGAATGCATATGGCTCATAGTTGTGTGACTGCGTGAAGGAAGGTCCTCCATCCATGCATCTGTGTTGGCTCAAACTATACAATAAACAATGGTGACATCAGGCAGGAAAAGGCTGACCTGAGACTATAAACATCCTGTTGTTGTGACAGAAACTCTACTCCAAACTTATCTGGTCCTGACAACAAACCAAACTAATTCAATCAAAGCTCCTGCACACAAACACTCACCTTCATGTTTTGTATCCTCACATATTTATTCTCCACCTGAACGGCGAGTTTTCCTCCATCAGCGCTCTCCCTACAAGTTGGGGGGAAAAAAGAAACATTAGGATGGAGAAAACACTAACACTCTTCCACAGGAGAGAAATAAACCTAAGGAACGCCATCGGGACAGATCAGCAACTTCCAACAACAAACACAGACCGCTCAAAACAACTAAAACAAAGATTTTCACTTTAGATTCACACATGGTTTTATCACATATATACCATTTTTAAAAGTGTGAAGACTGCTTCAGCATTCACACCGTTGTCCTCTTTTGTTTATTTCATACAATTTTTGCAATTTTGCCTCTGCTTACTTCATACTAATTTAGCCATGCATGTATCAAAATGTTCAGCTTATTCAAATGAGCACTATCTATTCAGTTTCTTCAAAAACAACCGTTCTCTTTGACATTTGCCTCAACATGCCTATTCTAGTTTTTTTACTCTTTATGCTACGTTTAGCTTGAAATATTTTGTTCTTCTACTTTTAGCTGTTAGCTTCTGTTCTGCTGCTTTTAGCAATTCCATAGTCACTTTTAACTGTTAACTAAGCTTTTATTGTTTTAAGCTATGGTTTTATTACTTTTACGCACTTTTTGCTCCTTTCAGCCTTTAGCGTCTACTTCTTTTTACATTTAGAGTCACATGCTACTAATAGCTTTTACCTTGCTTTTTATTATTTAGACAGCCCTTTGCCATTTTTAGCTTTAAGTTAGAACTTTGCTACTTTTAGCTAGCATTTTGCTATCTTAGCTTTTTGCTAGCATTCTGATTTTTTTAGCTGGTGTTTTGCTACCTTTTTGCTACTTTTTTTAAGATATTTTCTTAGTTACTTTTAACTAAGCTTTTATTGTTTTTTAGCTAAACTCTTGCTTACTTTCTCTTTTAGCTAGTGTTTTACTTCTTTTAGTTTTAACAACACAGCTTCAAATGCTTCAGGAAATTTCAGCAATATCATTCAGCACACAGCATTTACTGCGTATTTAGCAGAAAATCCTATTTTTCTCATTTGTTTAAATGTCATCTTTAGCCGATGCTGGTGTAACTGAGTGCCTGACGAAATTTATGGCAGTTTTTTCCTGACTTCAGGGCATCACATGACTGTTAACATAGTTAACCTTTGTGTTTGTTCACGTGCACGTGTGTTTGCGTGTGTCTGATCCATGAAGCTACCACACAACAGCACAACTAAGCAGTGTCAGGTTCAAAGGAAAACAGACCCCCGTGCTCTTCGGAGAGGGTCTCCGGTGAGGCAGCTTGAGTCGTTTTCACAGAGTTCAGCAAGTGCACAAAAACTGTTCTGTTTCCTTCCATGTGTGTACAATAAGATAATGCAGCAGTGGGTGTGTGTGCGCATGTGTGTGTGTGTTTTTCAGCAGCTGGACGAAGCTCATCTGATGCAACACATGGGAAACCAGAGGCAACATGAAGCTGATCTCCAGGAGTGATCTTAACGCCAAACACTGCTCATAACGCAAGAGCTCCGATCTCCGTGGTGAGTTCGGGGCTCAGGGTTGTACTCCTCAGCTCTTCTTGTGCTTCTACACGTGGAACTCATTTCACCAACCCCAGCAGAGGCCCAACCCAAAACCACCAACCTTCTGTGCTGAGCTCTACGCAGCATGGAAGAGCAAGCATTTAGTGGTGGAAAAATAGTAAAACTTATTAAGAAAGTGCTTTGATACAAAATAGGGATTTCATAGTTGGGTTTCTGACACATGAGATGCAGGCCACACTCTCTGAGGCCCCCACAGGATCCCAGGTCAATAAAACAAAGATTAACACACATAAGCCTGGCTGGATGAGGAATGCAGATGACCAGGCTGGTGTAATGTTATCTCTGCAGGTTCCTATTCAACTATGAAGGAAGGATATCCATCCTTCAGCTAAACATGAGGAGGAAACAGTGAGTGTGGCCATCACAATTAAATCAGGACGGACAGATTTGCATAACTGTGCACATTTTCTTATCACCAAAAAGGAAACGGCAATATTGTTTTCATCTGTGTCTGTGCTTATTTATCCAACTGTTAGCAAAAAAATCTCACAAGAGGGTGATATGCATTCCTTAAATGAAGAATAAAGTAGGCATTTAAAATAAGAAATGCTTTTGTTATGCAAAAAAGGAGGAAGAGCTGTTGAAAGAATCATTGTCCTGCCTTTCATACCTGGGAAAAGGCTTTGTCACAGGACTGCACTGTTTAACCAACAGAGTTTGACCAGCGCTGCAAGAGTCTGCCTCAAAGGCAAAAACAAAAAATATATATCACACATTTTATCACTTGGCCTAATACTAAAAATACAGCGGGTAAAATAAGTATTGAACTCGTCACCATTTTTCTCAGTAAATATACTAGAGGTGCTAATGACATGAAATTTTCACCAGATGTCGGTAACAACCCAAGTGATCCATACATACAAAG